TCACTTTCCTTTATCCTTTTTGGACCAAATATTGGATAGACTGGCTCGACACATATATTTTTATTTTCTAGATGGATTTACCAGTTATCATCAAATACCTATAGCTCTAGAGAATCAAGAGGAAATAACATTTACTAGTCATTATGGAATTTTTACTTTTCGGCAAATGCCCTTTGGATTATGTAATGCACCTGCAACATTTTAAAGATGTATGATGTCAATTTTCAGTGATTTAATTGAAAATGGGATTAAAGTCTTTATGGACAATTTTTCTATATTTGAAACTTCATTTGAAATATGTCTAAATCATTTAGGAAAGTTCTAGAATGATGTGAAAAGATGAATCCATATTAAGCTGGGAAAAATGTCTATTTATGGTTGTAGGAGGAATTATACTTGGGCATAAAATTTCAGAAAATGGCATGGAAGTAGATCCCGCAAAAATACATGTTATATCTAACCTATCTCCACCTACTACTGTAAGATGAGTTAGGAGCTTTTTAGGACATGCTGAATTTTACAGGCGATATATTAAAGATTTTTCAAAAATTAATAAGCTTTTATGTCAACTTCTAGAAAAAGATATAAAATTTGACTTCAACCAAGAGAGCCTTAAAGCCTTTGAAACTTTAAAGGAAAAATTAATCACTGCTTCTATAATTGTTTTGCCTTATTGGGAGAAACCTTTTGAATTAATGTGTGATGCAAGTGATTATGCAATTGGAGTTGTTTTAGGGCAGAGATATGACTAAAATTTTAAAGTTATATACTATGCTAGCAAGACTCTTAATGATGCTCAAATTAATTACACCACTACTAAAAGAGAGTTATTAGCAATTATTTATGTTTTTGATAAGTTTATGTCATATCTAATTAGAGCTAAATATGTTGAGCATATTGACCACTAGACTACTAAAAATATGATGCAAAAGAAGGATGCTAAACCAAGATTAATTAGATGGGTGCTTCTGATGCAAGAATTTGATTTTGTAGTAGTCGATAGGAAAGAAATTAATAATCAAATTACTGATCATCTATCTTTGTTGAACTTTCAGTAATTCATGAATTTCTTCAAATCCAATTGGTGGGCTATTGTGATCATCTGTATGTCCATGTGTTGGTTGAGGATCAATATGATAAGCAATTATAGGAACAACATCAACCAACATGGGCGACTGCGGTTTGGAAGCGGTCTTCTGTTGTGGGAGAAGCTTTGCAGGACTGTGGGGTTCTTCAAAGGAAGTGACAAGTAAGTGATGTTCACTATCTTTTACATCAAGAAAAAAATCATTAACATGCAACACATTAAAGACAATCAAGATCAAACACGATATAACATGGTCATGATATCACTTTCTGAAGGATTCAGAAATAATTAACTCACCTCGGCAGGGCCGAGCCTATTAAAAGCGAGCTGAATCAGTAAAGAATTGCATCTGACATTTACTGACCACCTCAACATTCATGGTTTAGCCTCATGAACTACTAGGATGACCAAGGACGCGTGCTTATAAAACTAGAGTTGTGTGAAACATGATAAAATAATTATTTGCTATGTACAAAATTATGAAAAGAGCTTTGAGGAGTTCCGTACAGGGAACAAACTGTTAAGAGGAAAACAAAATCATTAAGGTATCCAAGTGACTGCTCCGTCCTTATTTTCATGGCATAGAGGTTAAGTTGCTCAATAAAAAAATCACATACTGTAGCAAACCAATTATACGTGGTAAATGCTTCTACATCCTCGCAAAGAGAAGACAACTCTTTGGATACTCTAAAATTGCTTGAAGAAAAAATTAAATTTGTTAATAAAAACTCTATTAATAATTCTAAAGATTAGACGACTCCCTTGGAGCAAAATTGAAAAGTTCGGTCTTTATTTGTTTTGAATACATGCTACAGGACAGAGTTTTATTCTAACATGCGGGTGACCCTCTATTAGGCATGTCTACCAGGAGGGCAACTTGGTTTGCATCAAATCAGAGCTTTTTCTCACGCAACTGAAATGCCATTTGATCAATATCCCAATAGTTAATTATGTTTATTGTCATAATATGATTCTGAGGGTACAAAGGGAGTTCAAAAAACTGAACCAAACTCATGATCTCCAATTTATTCCGTGTGTACTCGAGATGGTTGGTCGGACCTTATCAAGAGCTTCTCGTACCTCAGATGGACAACATCTGCAATTTATGGATTTTGCGCTAAAAAATCTACAAGAATACAACATAATAGTTTAACATCAAATGAACGTTCAAATGACGACAAATAGGGTAAATTGAAAATAATTGCAACAATAAATGTAGTTATCTTGAATTATTAGATTTAATGTTTTTTCCCTTCAAAAGAATGTATTAAACATCAAGTACTCCAAATTTCAATAAAGATTAAATCATTTCTAATAAGAATTGTATATGGAACAATTCGTAGACAGTGGAGCTTGCCGGTAATCAAAACTACTAAGTACAAGCATATATTTATAATATATCTACTCAACTACCATATTAATTTGGACAGTTATATTTATGATCACATGAAACCACCATAACAAAACATAAGGAATAACAAAGCAAGGTCTAAAAATACCTAGAAACGTTCTAGGGCTTCTTAATAGATTCGCTGCCTTCGGTCTTGAACTCTTGTAAATCCTTCTTCTTATGACCACCCTTCGACATTTTCTTTGCCTGATCAACCTCTAGCTTCTTTGCCTCTTCGACGTCTGGCTTCTCCGCCTCGTCGAACTGCGCAACATTCGCCTCTTCCAACACGGCCGTAGTCTCGCCGATGTCCTCCACTTTAATATTGCTTCACAAACCAAATACGAAACTCTAAACAGTACCTTAACATTCGAGAGGAGGGAAACCCTAAGAGGAAACAATAACCTAAGCTCTGTTTTCGAAAAAGAATTCTTACTGTGTGGAAATTTTTACCACGGGTATTGGAGCAGTATTGGAGCAGTATTGCTGACTTTCTGCCGTGAGTACAAGGGAGTTACAGCATGGGTCGGGCGGACGGGTCACGCCCTGAATCTTAATGTGGGCTGCCTTTCTGCCGTGAGTATAAGGGAGTTACAGCATGGGCCGGGCGGACGGGTCACGCCCTGAATCTTAATGTGGGCCGGACTCAGCTGAAGCCACCAATTGGTTGATGCATAACCTCGACGTATTCTCGACGTATGCAAATTTTTTCCGTTCGGCCGAGGCTGAAACCTGGAACTCGGATAAACCTCAACTCCACGCTTTCTCGAGGGAGCGCCCAGTCTCTTGGAGCTTCTCTAGCTTTCCAACCGCATCCATGAGCGCAGGAAGCTTCCTGCTCTCATCTAGGGTACCCCTCCCGAAGTCCTTTCCTCCTGATTTTACGTGGTCACAACCCAATTCTCTACTCCTTAGGTCGAAGCCTCTATCCACTGCTCCTCTCCGCGGCTCTTACGTTAGAGCCGCCACCGCTGCCGGTGGTGGCGAGGGTGACTTCATATCCAAAGTTCTGAAAGAAAATCCTACCCAAGTGGAACCGAAATTTCTCGTCGGTGAGAGATTCCTCACGCTGAGGGACAAGCATGGACCTGGGAAACCTCCTGTCTTGAGAATTTCCCAGCTCGTGAAACGCTTACTGGGGGATTCTTATGGGAGTAAAGGGAAATGTGGACAAGAAGGCACTGGGGAGTGTATGAACCAATCTCAGAACACGGTTTATCTGAAGGACATTCTCAGGGAGTTCAAAGGGCAGCTTTATGTTCCCGAGGAGGTATTTATGGAGAACTTATCTGAGGAGGAGGTGTTTGACAGGGACATACACGAGCTTCCCTTGTTGAGCTTTGAGGATTTTCAGAAACATCTGACGGCTGGTAAGATCAAGCAATTGACATCGAAATCCATGGTTGGTGTTCCTGCTGGTGTTGGTTATAGAGATTTCATAGTTGACCTAATTGAGACGCCTGGGGATAAAAACTTACAGAAGACAAGATGGTGAACTTTCCAACTATCGTTTATTTCTTGCCCAAATCTTTGTTTAGCCTTTTTCCTTATTGTTCTGTGCTTTCCCATAAATTCAGGGCTATTAGGCTAAGTGCGGCTCAGACACAGGCGGTCTACGAGGAATACAAAGGTGCACGGTATGAAATAGAGAAGCAAATGAGGGTACGCTATTTCTATTAATTATTGCAGATTTTGGCTCAAAGTTGAATATTTACAATACAAAGATGCTTTTTTAGTTTCAGATCTTCTACAGAGATTTAATATTAAAAAGTACTAATTTCCTTAATAGATAAATTATTGCTTAAATATAGAGAAATTAAAAATATATCTTGATTATTTGTTTCGATATTCTTCTCTTCAATGGCTTTGGTATCTTAACTACATGCACTCAGAAATGCTCATGGCTACTTCCTCAATCTCTTTGACAATGACCATAAAAGAAATATATGATAAAGTCAGGTTGAATGTTTCTCCTATGTGCACTGCATGCATGGTGAACTCTGTAATTATCCACCATGGATAATCTCTGTATTCCACTACAAGCATTAGGAACTCTGGAATCAGCAGCCATGTATAATCTCTGCAGGTTTAGGGTTTATCAGTAACATCATATATTTTGTCAATGAATTTAGTAGTAGTAGCAGCGTTAAGGAGTTATTCAAGAGATGTATAGACTTCGGAAATTTGGAAATACAACCACTTATGACTAACATCTGGAATGAGTAATAAACATGTTTCCTTTACCTGGAATTTCCACCCCCCACCCCCACTATCTATTCTTTGGTGTCTCTTTAATTTTTGAGCAGTAACTCTAATTCTTGCTTTTTATATTCTGATTTTGTGATGCAGTCTTATGTGGGCAAACTTGCTGAATATCCTCATCCTGTGGCTTCTTCCATATCTAGTAGAATTATGGTTGAATTTGGGATGGTAACGGCCTTAATGGCTGCGTTTGCTGCAGTAATTGCAGGTTTCATGGCATCTGCAGCCTTTGCAGTGACCAGTTTTTCTTATGCTACTATAGTCTATGTTCTTTGGCCTTTAGCCAGACCATTTCTTAAGCTTGGTCTTGGTATTGTTTCCAATATTGCTGAAGGGATATGGGAATATATCGTTGATATATACAGTGATGGAGGATTTTTTTCAAAAATGCACGAGCTATACACTTTTGGCGGTGTTTCTGCAAGCCTTGAGGTGCTTAAACCAATCTTGCTGGTTTTTGTAACTATGGTCCTACTTGTTCGTTACACTCTATCTAGGAGGCCAAAGAACTTCAGGAAATGGGTACTTCTTTTTATTTTATTATATTCATTGAATTTACTTGCATGTTTTACATGAAATTTTCATTTCTGAACGCTAGTTTGCTGCCTTTAAACCTTTATTATGATGCTAACAATTATCCTACAGGATATTTGGCAAGGCATAGAATTTGGGCAGTCGAAACCACAAGCTCGAGTTGATGTATGTTCTAATGGCTGTCCCATTCTACCAACTACTTCAGTTTTGAATATTTTTGGCTTTTACATCTACTAATATAATGACAGATGCTAGGCTGAGGAATTTCATGCTTTTTGTCATTTTTTTGGTATATTAGGGCTCAACAGGAGTAACATTCAAAGATGTAGCAGGCATTGATGAAGCAGTGGATGAACTACAGGAGGTGAGATGTTATGGAATCCAACCATTTAGACTATAATCTGTTCCGGTTTCTTCAGAATATTGCTTGCAGCTCTTCCATTTTATTTTTTTTCTTGATTCAACTTCTTGATTGAAGAAGGATTGTGCTAATTGAATTAAGGAATAGAACAAAATCTAGTCTAATTATGCTAAAGCTTATTGCGGCCTAAGAAAATATTGTTCCTCCTTGTTGAAACATCCTTTTAAAAGAAAAATCTGATTATGGTTTTTATATGTTTGTTAAACCAAAAGCAACTCACGTTTACTTTAACCAACATTCCATGATTTGGCCAGTTGGTTAGATATCTGAAGAATCCAGATTTGTTTGATAAGATGGGAATCAAGCCTCCTCATGGAGTCTTACTGGAAGGTCCTCCTGGATGTGGCAAGGTATATAATATTTTGATTGTCTTTCCTTGATGCAGTCCGTCTCTTCTAACATTTAAATTACTAACTTTGCTAGACTCTAGTTGCAAAAGCTATTGCTGGTGAAGCTGGTGTACCATTTTATCAGATGGCTGGTTCTGAGTTTGTCGAAGTTTTGGTTGGTGTTGGTTCTGCTAGAATTCGAGATCTTTTTAAGAGAGCCAAAGTAAGAGGGTAACTTAATTATTGTTTCTCAACTCTTCAATTCAATAATAACATTTGCAATTGAATTTGCTCTTTTATTAATTTCATTAAATGAAAAGCGAATTTTTGACCTCAACACAATTTTCTTATGTTTTCAAATTTGGACTTTGTGTTTTTAATATAAGTTTGAGCGCTTACCTTTGTTTACTATAGTAATTCTTCCTAAGTGATCACAAGAACTCATCATGTGTGAAACTTACATACAATTTTAGATAGCTTGGCTGGATGGGATTTAGTACATGATTCATAATTATTGAAGGTTTTGTTACCATAAAATATCAAGGCCCATAATCTAAAGCAAAATGTGAGAAAGATGAGCAAGATACATTGATTGTCTTGTGAGTGGAGCTCCCACTAAGTTGATGCATGCAACAATATCGTTGCATGTGCAAAAAAAATATTTCCTTAAATCAAGTCTATGATCTTCATAATACATTAGAAGCAACTTAACCAATGCTCTAGGCCAGTTTTCTACAAAGGTGACGCACATTCTTTGATCTAATAATATTTCAATTTCAAAATATGTAGGGACATAAATTATATTTGACCTATGAGGCTCTTATTATCAAATTGTTAAGGTTAAATTGTAAACCTAAAGTCAGGTTCAAGCCAAAAACAAGTAAGATCCAAAGTCATGCTCAGTTCAAGTTTAACAATTAAATTAGGTTCGTGGAAGCTTACAAGGCTACATGGATGCTTTGTAAAGTTCCACCATTTAAATGAAAATAACTTTTAAGTTGAAATTGTAAATACAGTAAGCAAGGGTTTGGTAATCGTTGCACGTTTCTAAGTAGGAGTGATTGTGATAGTGGAAGGTTTAACTTAAGTTACTTTACTAAATAAGGTCCCCTACGTCGATTCCCCTGGAAAGATAGTAGTTAGGGAAGTTCTCAAGAGGCATTATTTGTTAATTCATTACTGCACCCATCTATAAGCCCACAAATCTACCTATCCAAGGAGACCAGAAAGTCAACCAAACTAAGGTAAACTAACTCTCAATGTTTTAGAAAGCGTTCAAGGTGCACGCCTCAAGGCGCTTGAGCAGTGACTCATAGTGTAGCCTTGCCGATGTGGGCGAGGCTTACACATTTCAATAGTGTGGCATACGCCTCTAGGCATTTATGCCTTGAATCATATGTGGCGTCAAATCAAGTTACCCAATTTAATTTAGACGCAACAACCATAATTCACAAATTAGGGTTGGAGCGTCATTTCGAGCGCTTCGTTGCGTCTTCCTTGTGCTTCGTCTCAAGCCTTTGGGTGCATTTGCGTCCAAAAATTGTCCGATAGTTAAAGTTTAGCGTCATCCCAAGCATCGATGGCGTCTGCATCTCCTTTGTCCCGAGCCTTCTACATCCCGAGCATCGAAGTCTAGTCGAAGGATTTTGCGCCTTCCGTGTCTCGAGTTGTCATGTTTCGCGTCTTCTGCATCTAATCCACCGTAGAAGTCCAAGACGTGTCCACTTTCATCTCGAAACATCTTCATCCAGAGCCTCAAAAAATTGGGTGATATTTCTGTAAATGCTCATTATAAGTACATGTACTGTATAATTTATTAAATTCTTAGATCTATAAGTATGAGACTCAAGTTGAAGTGGCAGTAGAAGGTGCAAAAGAAAGACACGTTTATTTGAAATGTAAATTTTGTGATTAGTGAATTACTGGAGGTGTGAAGAGGCTTAAAGATCACTTGGCTTGCACACATTTAAATGTTAGAGCATGTGAGAAAGTGACAGATTAAGGCTACGTTTAGTGCAGCTTATCAGCTGCGGCGACATTTTGAAAACGCCGCCTCATTGTTTAGATCTCGCGTTCGAGCAGCGGCTCTGAAAACGTCGTTGGTGTTTTAGCTTAAACGCGGGCTGCGGGTCTAACCCCGCGGGTCGGGCGGACGGATTGCCCTCGTTACGTCCCGTAGAGCAGAGGAGAAGAATCGAAGGCTTGCTCGCCACTTGCCGCACATCGCCTCGCCTTGCTCGTCGTCGCAGCCCGAAGCGAAGCCTACATCACTCCCGCTCTTCTGGTTTCGCCCAAAACCATCGCCTTCGTGAATGAAACCTCACAATACAACCACAATTAGATCTAGAAGGGAAGGCTATGATGGGATCGTGCCTACCTCATCATAGACACTTGACGGCGCCGCCCGCTTCGCTGTCAGCGATTGGTGCCGCTGTCCACCGCACGAGCAAGCCGCACTGTTCGGCCGCAGCAACTCACTCTCCTTCCTACCCCATGTGTTCCCATTAGGCATCATTCCATGCTTTTGCACCACTCCTCACAAAGTGCTCGGCTCCTCCCTCCAGTCTCTCCTCCTTGCCCCACAGTTTTTCAAACTGTAGAGAATATCCAATTTGGGAACCTTTTGGTTTGCAATTATTCAGATATTATAACTGTCTTCCAAATTTTATGTTTGTTTCATGTTTTCTGTTTACTGTTTATGTATACGAAAATGACTTGCTCAAACTTAGCTATGTTCAACTCCAAGTAAACACTACATTGTTAACTCAACAGGAGCTGAAATTGAAATTTTATTCTATTTGATTAGTTTGAACAATCCTTTTTTGACCTTATGATCTTCTGAGTAACGCATCTATTTGATAAAATTTTTCTAGGATTTTCTTATAAAAATTCCAATCTCATGGGAAATGTGTGAGCGTTTTTTACATTGTTTGTATGAATTTCCCTATGTCATGGGTGCAATTTTCTCCCAAAATTTTGTTCGGAGTAGTAAATCCCAAATTGATTGATTATTTATAAATTGCGCTTATTCTATTGCAAATTTAGGAATTTTAAAATCAAACATAAATAACTTAAACTTCCTCGTTTTTGTGACATGATTCGTTTTGATTATTTATTAAATAGGATGAATTTTTTTTGGTAATATTTTATTTTTAGGTCTTTAACTTATTTTTTGTACTATTCTAAAGTCGTTTTTTGCTTATCAAATATCAAATATGTTGTTATGACAGTTCTATTGTAAACAAAATTACTGCATTGGGGCAGAATGATCATTTATCCAGAAATTGCTGCAAATCAACCGTTTTGCAAATGCACAAACCAAACAACCAACCAACTTATCAGGATACACTGCTGATCAACAGATTATCAGGATGAACTGCCTATCTGGATGAGCTTCTTATCTGGATAAGCTGCAGCTGCTTGTTTGGATAAGCTGCTGTTGCCCCAAAAAGACCCTAAGTCAAGGAGTGTACTGAATATTTAGAAAATTATGCCGCCTCAAAAGAAACAACACAAAAAAATATAAAAAGATGATTGGGAATAGTTTTTATTCTGGTTCTCCATTCGATGGTTCTAGCAGTGTAAGTCATTTGCATTTTTTTGATAGAGGAACTCGAACACTAATAGACAGATTTATAGCAAATGTGGATGAAGATGATATATTAACTCTTGACCAATTCCTTCTTTAGTTTCTGCAAAATAACACATAAATATAGTGTGTTTAGATATTGCAAGATACATTTATGAGAATTTAATTTCTTTTAATGTGATTAAGAGTCCATGGATCAACATGTTTCACCTTGTTGGGAATTATGGGTGGGGATTGAATCTTCCTAGCATGTATGAGCTTCGAACTTGGAGTTTGGATGGGAGGTTAGAATAACAACAAAAATAGTTGATGAAGTGAAGAAGATATGGATTGAAATATGAGTTACAATAATTTCTGATGGTTGATCAATTATTAGACAAAGAAGTATTATCAATTTTCTTATTAACAACACTTATGTAATAGTGTTTTTAAAATACCTTTGTAAAGGATGCCCATTTGTTATTTGAAATGTTTTATGAGGTTGTTGAAGAAGTTAGGGAGAGCTTGGTTGTTCAAGTTATTACACATAATGTAAGTGGCTTTAAGGCTGCAGAGAGAATATTAAGGGAGAAAATGAAGTATCTTTATTGGACTCCTTATGCTACTCTTATCTTGATTTAATACTCGAAAAATTGGGACAATTGTTGCAACATAATTTTGCTTTGCTTTGAGCAAAAATACCAAGTAAATTTATTTATAACCACTCTTGGGTATTAAGATTGATGAGGAAATTCACAAATAAAGAACTTTTTTGATTAGCAATTACAAGATTTGCCATGACCTATTTGATTTTGGAAATTTTTAAAGAGCTATAACAATCTTTGATGGGTATGTTTGCTTCTAAAGAATGGGACATGCAAAAAAAATTAGAAGGAAAGCAAACGAAGAAGATCATTATGAGAGAGAATTCATTTTGGCGTAGTTTTAATTATGCTCCAAAGACTACATGGCCTTTGGTGAAAGTTTTATGGATGGTTGATGGTGAGAGGGCTCCTGCTATGTGATTTATTTATGAAGTTATGAGTAAAAAAAATGATGATGTAGCAGAGATTTTGGAGGACAAGAAGCAGCTTATAAATAAATATGAGAAATAATTGATGAGAAATGGGATCGTCAGCTAAATCAACATTTACATGCTGTTGTATATTATTTAATCGTCAATTTCATTTTGAAAAAAAACTTTCATGCAGATAAAGAGGTTAAGGCCAGTTTATATGCATGTATTGATAAAATTATCCCCGAGTCTGACTATATTAAAATTAACTATCAACCTGAAGAATTTCATTAAAAAAATGAAATTTTTGGATTTAGGTCAGCGCAAGCATATTACAAGGCACACTTACCTGATAAATTTTATTTATTTATAACTTTAAATTTATGAGTTTATCATTTTCATTTAATCCTATGCTAGAACGTTGGTAGGCACAATTTTGGAGATGACGTGGCTCGAACTCAATGTATTTATTGTGAAAGTTTTTAGTCTTACTTGTTCAACTTTCGCTTCTGAGTGTAATTCGAGCATATTCAACCAATTGCATGCAAAGAGAAGAAATTGGTTGGCTACATGTCTAGTAAACTAATTAGTTTATGTAGCATTTAATAAAAAATTGAAAGATGGACAACTGAAGCTATAA